TAGAATTTGTTTTGATAACTTTTGATTTTGAAATTTTAGCAAAAGTCGTTATAAACAACTTATGAGATTGAAAATGAAAAGCGTGGGGCGCATATAATAGCCACCTGAATTGATATGAAGGGTAATATATGTTCATATGTATGTGGATATATGAATAACGACCGCTTAAAATCGATCTCAAATTTGTACTTTCGCTGAAGAAATTTTAGGTCTATGTTATGTAGTTTGCCTATTATCAATTAAATATAATGCTTTGTATTGCATGCGCCCCACGTTTTTCATTTTCAATCCCATAAGTTGTTTATAACGACTTTTGCTAAAATTTCAAAATCAAAAGTTATCAAAACAAACTCTATGGGACTGAGAAATATTATTTTCTACTTTTTAGTCCATTTATAAAAGCGTTGTATATTAAAGAGTTTTTTTATATTATTTATTTTATGTATACTACCACGTGAACCGATATCAATTTCTGTTTTTTTTTTTTTTTCGGAAAGATGGTACCTCAAGGGTTGTCCCGTAATTTCGTTTAGATGCGATCATTGGATAATGAAAATATTAACGGTATTCCTAAATTTGTATATGAGAATTGAAGTTGGTTGTGTTTTTTGCTTAAAAATTACTTGTTTAATAAAATAATCTATAAAAACAAGATGCGCTAAACTTTCAAAAGTAATAAAAAAAAATTTAAAAAGAGTCTTAATAATCATTTTCCTCGATTTTTGGTCACTACGCTAAATTTTCGTCGCCAAAATTCTCAAAATGAAAAGCAGTTGGCCTAAAAGTATTCTGAATCGAAAAGTAATAACTGTAATGTGTAATCAGCAAAATCTGGCAGCATGAGGGGTATGTAACTAAATGTTGCATGTTGTTAGGCGTTCCTACTATTCTCACTAATAACTCACAAGAAATTTCTTAAATCCTTTGTAAAAATTTCCTAAATCTGTTTGCAGCTCTCAAGAAAAAAACGCTCGTATATTTGTTTCTTCAAGAAAATTTACAGCAAAAGGAAATTTATTTTTCAAGCAACAGAAATAATAAAAAAAATACTTCTTGTGACTTTTCTTGAGAGCTGGATTCTAAGCTTTAACATACAGTTTTCATTTAAGGTTATTAGCTTTAGGGGGGGTTTGAACCCCAAAACCCACCCCTTGTGTGCGCTGATGAGTGCATTAATTGAGAAAGTTTGGATAATTGATCGATTAACTGCCTGCCTGAAAATAGTATTATGTGATTTTATAATAGTAAGCCATAAATAAAACAAAACGTCTACAACAACAAGTAACATCCAAATTGTATATCTCTTTTTATTATCTGAAAATTTGGATAAATAAGAGCGTAATAACATTAAAAATCAAAATCGCAGTATGGTAGTTTTTGCAAATTTTATATATAGAAATTAAATATATCGAGTTTTGAAAGAGTAAATTTTATATAGCCAGCTTTTTTAAGCTTTTCACGTTCTCTCTTCCATGAAGGTTGGTCTGCTTCTTTTTTAAGACGTCTTCCACTAGGCACCGAAACTACCACGTTTTCTTGCAGTTTTCTAAGTTCATCAGAAGATGGAGACTTTTGAACTTGTATAAATACGTACAATAAATATTATAGCGACTTTTGAAAGTGTATATATACATACAGTAAGTATTATAGCGACTTTTGCTAGAGTAGCTAACATTTGATGCTATTTTTTCAGAATATATAAGGATTTTGCACTGTATTGTTAGTGGACATGAAACTACTTTAAATACTGGTACGTTTAAACACCAAAAACTAAGAATCGAAAAAAATTTACATAGCGCACTTTGCAAGTGGACTACTCATATGTAAGTTTGTACAAATGTGCGTAGAAACAAGTAAGAGCAGCGCTGTCTTCCTCTATGCCGAAGGCTTCATACCTTTCATGAACATCTGAAAATTTTACTTTAACAGATTACTACATTTGAAAAAAAAATTATATATTCACAGCATACATAACATAGATAAAGGAGTTACATATATAAAAAATCATATCTAAACAATCAGAGGTATGGAAGATATCAAATAAAACACCTCTTTGAGGTAAAAGTTTCGAGTGACGAAAGCTGAACTAGAAACACAAAATTTATGATATCAATTTCGTGACGAAAATCATACGCATTTTTTAACTGCCTTTGAAACGTAGGGAAAATCTTTTTTATTCATACGAATCGTTGCAAATGTTCTGATTTTTATTTTTTGTTTCTAGCAGTAGACGGAATTTCGCAACGTTCCAAATAAATAAATAAAAGATTTTCCGTACGTTTCAAAGGCAGTTAAAAAATGCGTATGATTTTCGTGACGAAATTGATATCATAAGTTTTGTGTTTCTAGTTCAGCTTTCGTCACTCGAAACTTTTACCTCAAAGAGGTGTTTTATTTGATATCAATTATTTTGGGGTAGCAAATTTAAAATCGATGAAAATACAAACAATAATCTAAATGGATTATTTTTCTCAAATAAATTGCTAAAAATATTATCTAAATCTAAATTATGTATTCAAATCGATTTGTCCTTGAAACATATAATTTTTCGAATACGGAATAAAGCGAAAAATAATGATCACAAACCTTTGTTTTCGAAAAAATTAAAAATAAAAAGAATTATGAGAAATGATAAAAACTTATCAACTTGGTACCAACTTTCGATAAAATTAACAACTGTATTCGTCTAATTGCCTGGTAGTTAAATTTTCGTTAAGATTTCTACCGGGTGTGCACGCATGTGCTTTTTTTAAGAAGTTTTACTTCTATCGCGTTTACGATGTTGCACTCGTGCTATTAAACTAATGCTTTTTTCTCAAGTAGTTTTGCTCAGTGGCAATTTATACATATATATGTAAGTAGTAGTGGCACATTGGGTGAACTAAATGCATTCATCCATACATATTTATGTACAACTGCAGGTAACGCGTCTTCCCAGGTAGGTCAAGTGCGGGTGATAAACCCATGTAGCATAGTTACATACTGTGTACATACCTGCAATTAAAATGGGGAAAAATGTTACAATTTCGGCATGTGACTGGAAAAAACTCTAAAATACACACAAATTGTGATTTCCAAGACATGTACGAATTGATTAGCACAGCTGCATCCTTCAACTTGTCAACTCGCGGGAAATTCCGCGATTTCCAGGGAATTTCGGTTTAAGTGGCAATCGGGGAATTAGAAATTTTTTTCGGGAAACTGGGTATGTTATTTTTATATTTTAAAGTAACCAAATTAGACGGACATGTTAATTTTTAACCATTTGACCCTTTCTGGAGCGATATTTTTTCAATTTGAATCGCAATATCGCCACAACAAGTTTCCAGATATAAGCTGTATGCCAGATGAAAGCTAAGATTTTGGGCTAGATTTGTGAAAATTTGGAATAAAATCGACTGGCCAGTTTTTGAGAAAATACCAGAAATGTATATTTTCAGCAGCCCGATTTTTAGTGTTCAGGCGGTAAAGTTATGACATATTTATATTTTATAAACAAAACAGATAGCGTTAGATAGCTAGTTTGAAGACCCTTCTACTGATATCCACATGAATGACATGGACTGACTAGTGCGGCCTCAGTTGTAGTTTAAAAAATTGCATTTTTTCGAATTTCAGGCAGCAGCCACGCCCACAAAGGCGTACGAATCAAAACATCCTGGAACAAAACCTTCTTAGTTTTTTTTATAGTTTAATTCCTGAAAGTTTAAAAAAAATTAAATGATGGTACGTACAGACGACACATACATACCAAAGCATCTCGTAGTGGAGACACGAACCAAAACACATATACCTCTATATCTTTCCAACTAGTGGCCGGAACTTAATATTTAAGGTATCGTTTGAAAGGTATTGGCCTATAGAATAACACTAAATATGTTGGGTGTGCCCACACCCCCTTAAACCGGCAAAATCAAAAAAACGTTTTTTGTTTCGCAACACTTTAGCCAAATTTTTAAGAATCCGGTAAACGCTTATGAAGCTTGAATACATTTTCTGGACACACGATATCTCAAACAT